GTGTGTGACGTGTAGATCCTGCGGCGTTCCAAGGTTCTGAGTCCTTTTTTGAGCAAACCCTTCAGTACTTCAAGGGCAAGAAACTGGTTGACGGTTTCAGCATGTTTCATCCATTTGTGTCAAATTTGTGTGATTTACCAACCCCATGATTCTTCACCCAGTCATCACCGGGAATACCACCAAGGGTACCAACTGGACCAGTGAAAATCCCGTCCTGGAGTATATAGAATACAACACGCGGATTATTCTTCCTTGAGTGTTTTTGAATCCCAATTTGGCTAGTTTAGCGCTTTTCCCTGCTTTGCCCCATTGCCTTTCTGCTTCTTCGCTTTCTTTGCTTCTTGCTCTTCAGCTTTTCTGCTTGTTGCTTGAGCTTTCCTGCTTCTTTTTGTTTGTGCTTCCCTACTGAAGAAGAGAACAACACGAAGACCAAGGGCAAGACCAAAACTCTAAGAGCAACCACAATAAGAATCGCCATTGTTCCGGCTGCAGCATCTTGCAAAGACTATGCAAGTGGGAGGTTCTACCTGATTCTACCTCAAACATGGGGGACACGACATTAAATGCTGTTTGAAAGAGAGGTTCAGGCTCCAAAATATCCAACATGCTTGAAATCAATGCAAATCCCTGGCAGAAAGCACCGAGAGCAATCCAAGAAGTATCAAACAAGAAAGAAAGCCGCTCCCCAACAGCAACATCGCTTTAGCGTGAGAATTCAAGGGATCTTCTACCTACTCCAGGATTGTTATCCGATGTTATCTATACATATCTGCTCCAGCAAAATCAAACAGTTTGGAATTCAGAACGCGCACCAGCAACACACGCCCTCTATCCAGAACCACCAAAACCAAGAGTACTCGATGCATGACATTTCTGTGCGATACCGTCGCGCCGCAAGACTGGCTCAATGGAGCCAATACTGGTTCCTATTGTCTACATCCTTGCGTTTGCGTTTCTTCATAGGCTGAACATGGCTGAACCAAGAAACCCAGCAAACTCAGTAAAGACAGCAACATAGCAGTCTAAAACACGCATCATATGCTATGTATCCAGAAGCACCAAAAGGAGCGCCACTCGATACATACGATCTAGCAAAGGTATATCTAAATAACAAGCCAAGGTGTATCCTGCAAAGATATGAGCACAATAAGACAAGCGGATGTAGCACGGACTGCTCCAACATATTTTCTCATGTGCTCTCCGTGCATCTGGATTTCCCTATATAAAATTCTCAAGACTATGAATCTTTGATGGGCGCCTTACCAGCATGCAATGAAAAGAACAGGACACAAAACGTAAATATATATAATGCCAGGAAGAGCTCTAGCACGAACACGAGAGGAGGCTTCTGATGAGTTGTTCCAGAATTTGCACACCGACCAATTGGAAACCCACCCAGAACCGCCTTCAGAGCAGCAACTGGGCTTGCCTCAAATGTTTGAAACCCTTCGGTAGTCAACAAAGGCAGCCTATACATGGAAGCTCGGAGCAAGAGCAGCAATGCGGCAGAAAAAAGCCCTTTGCTTCCACCTTGCAAGACTAGCTGAGGCCTTCCCTTCCGCCTCAAGTTTAAAGGGGGGTGGGGCCGCTAGCCATTTAACTATCGATAAAAACCATGCATCATTCCATCATCAACTCTGCTCCGAGGGAAGCCTTCGCTTGGAACTTGCAGTGGGGCACATATTTCACGCAGACTTTGGAGTTTCCCGCAGATCTCAAGATGGTGCCAACTGTGGAGTGGACACAGATGGTGCTGCAGTCCGTGGTGATGCCAGAAGGGGGCGAGGCGGGCTTGGAGTGCTTGAAGTTCTTGGGACTTGAATGGACTTGAGATGAAAGGGTCTCGGTCCAGTTTGCGTACCCCAGAATCTTGGGACTGATCAAATTAAAACTAGGCCCAGGCATGCCCAGGCAAAAACTTGTAGGATGGTGACCTAAATTTTTGACATGTTCCTGAGGGTAGTTTGTTTAGTGCCCTTTGGTTTTGCAACCGAAGGTTTGGAGCTTGTTCTGGCACAAGGGCGCCACAATATCTACTACAGGCCTTGCATTCTGGCGATCTGATTCCCATCCTCAGCCTCGAGTCCGGTAGTGAAGACGATTTTCTGTCTGCGTGGACGTCTGGTGACTTTGTTTTTTTGCTGCCGGACCAGGCCTTCGGAAGCTTTCTGCGCTTGAGCGTTTCAACTTGCTTATGTGATTGCGGGCTTGGGCTATTCCCTGGCAAGCTTTCACAGCGTCATCTACGAGAGCCTCGTTGCTGGTCATGCAGCCAAGCCTTTGCCTCTACCAAACGCATACCAGGACAGGTTTCTTTGCCAACCCAAGTGCGCAAGTGGTGGGTTGTGGATGGTGTCGGTTTCGAGGAGCAGGAAGCCGGGCCCCCATTGTCTTTCATGCAAATTATGTTGATGCACTCCAACTACTCCGTTGCTACCATTCCTTTCCAGTAGATGGAACCTTTTCTTGTGTCAGAAGTCCCTTGCAGGATGAAGGCATCATCCCAGAATGTGAGTGGCTGGCCGGGGTCTACGGCTCTCGCCGGCCACACGGATGGCAGGGCTGCGATGAGATCCAAGACCAGTCGGGCAGGCGAGAACGTCTTATTCAACGGGGTCTTTTGTGCCCACATTATTTTTTCAATCATAATAATGTATATGTACGTAATTAATATTATATAATTAATCGTAATTATATAACTGTATATAACAATTATATAGTTTACAGATGTTTACAGCAATCTGGACAATCCAGCCAGAACCACCATTGTTTAGGATTAAACGGAGCAGACGGACCCAGATGGTCACATGACATGTGCTTCATCGGTCTTCCAAGTTACACATTCACGGCATTCACGGCAGGGCTTTCACGGTTTCACGTGCAGGTGCATGCAGGAGAGCTGCTACAAGCCCCTGTGCCGCAAGGAGACGTCAATGGGTTGACCAACAGCCAGGCAAGTCCTTAAAACGTTTGGTGGAGGGAGATTCGGAGATCAACACGGACCTGATTTCCAGTAGCAGGGCCGCTTTTTCAAGTGGCTGGACCGTTGAGCAAGTAGGAGTGCTGTCGCGCGCACTCTATGAACTCGACAAGAAAGGCAACGGCGAGGGCATCCCTCCTTTCCATAATACCTCGAACAAGCTCCTCCACTTTCTTCACAGGTTACTACAAACAGCCTGTGGGCGGCTTCAGAGACTTGACATTTGAGCGTGTGGACTCCATTGAGTGTAGCCCATTGGTTGGAGAGATCTACTCAAAGACTCTTCGCATTCCGAGCCGCTGCCTTACGAACATCACAACATTTGAAGACACGATCAACAAGGCTGTGGTCCGTGGTATCTGAAGGATTCTGAAGGCATTCATATCGCGAGAAATTGCAAAAGACAGGGGGTCGGCCAGTCCTTCGGATCCATGTCATTGAGTCACTAATATGTCACAATATGGTTGCATCCGGAAAGGGGGGCACACTGGGAATTTTTTGTTGAAACGGCAATTTAATGCGGAGAATCATACAGTCAGTCAACGATGAGAAAACACCATATTTTTATAGTTTAATTCCTTTTTCAAAATGAAGTTACCAAGTGGGGTTGCCACCCAAGAAGAAACACTCTGTACTGGGATGCCACGCAACCAGCCTTCCCCCCATCGCACTGAGAGCTTTAAAGTGGGATAGGCATAGGTCAAAAGTCAATCCCCTTGAAGCCGCAGATTCATGGGAATAATTGTCAGCAAAGTTTTCAGATAGCTCATTTTGACTCATACCCAGATAATGTCAAACAATCACAGGTGTAGAGGAACACCACGCCCATGAATCGCAGCATGAACACCTGTCCGGTTCAGCTGTATCGGCTGTATGAGTGACTGAGTGACAGGTTTGACAACCACCAGTGTTTCATGTGCAAAATGTATGGCTTCATACATCTCCCAGCGGTCTGCCTGCTGCTGAGCCTTGCCAAATCCAAGATGGCGGGAGTAGAATGGAGCAGGTGGCTGTCAATACATATGAATAAACCATAGTTAACCCGAGGGTATCAGCGGGACCTACAGCTCATCCAGCATATTGTTCGGGATTCTTTGGGCATGATTCTTATTGTATACGATTGTATACGTCAGGAATTCTCCAATTCAATCGGGTGATTTTGGATGATTTTGGACTTCCCCGGTTTGTTGGTAGAGATGTGGGGTCCATTCCATTGGGGCCCTCTTTTCGATCTTTTCGCTAGCCCGTTCTGCCAGAACGAGGAGTGGCACCGCGACCGGAAAGCGATTGGCTCCTCATTCCAGCAATGTGTTTGAAGAGCCATTACCAAAGCCGCCATCCGACCTGCGCAGATGGGCAAACCAGAAGTTCGGGCATGAGACAGGGCCAGCAACGAGTGTTGGGTTCAAGCCAAGAGGAAATTTCGGAAAAGGCGCGCAGGGGGCAAGAGGATCATGGTTTTTGAGCCGCTTGGGAGGGGCTTGGATGGGGAAATGGGTTGCTTTTCAAGGCACCAATGGTGCCATCACGTGCCATCCACCCCTCAGGCGAAGAGTCTCTTTTGGAGCAGGCCCTTCAATACTTCAAGACTGAGAAGCCTGGCCCGTGGAAGATATCATCATTTGACTCATCTCCGATTTCACAAGATGACCTGTGGTTTCCAAGATGCAAAATACAATTTGAAGGTAAAGACCGGCACCATGCTTTCCCGTGAAATCTCCCTAAACCCAACCTTTTCCATACTTTTCTTGGTAAAAAAAAGCAATGTTTCGATGAACTTTCCCTCAGGAAAGCCGCATGGAAGCTGGACTGGGGCCCGGATTCTTCGAATTTCACAGTGGAGCTGTGGATTGGCGAGGCGCAAGTCGTGATGCGCGCCGAGTGGGTACAGTTGCTGCTCCAGTCTGTGGTCATCCCGGCCGAAAATGACGATGGTTTGGAATGCGTGAAGCTGATTGATTTGTGAGAGAGAGGGGAAGGGTCAAGATTGATCAAACATAGATGGATCCATTTAGACATGGCCAAATCTGTGGGCTGATAATCTGGCGTCTTTGGAATAGCTGGGATATAATTAAATGTTTGATCATCATTTGAAACCATCAGCACTGAGCACACGAATTTCCAACAGATGGCTCAATGTGTTGGGTGGCTACCACGAGTGGTCAACATTCGATTGTGGGGGATTGGGGGGGAACTCATCCCTGCAGTGCAGTTTTACTTCGGCCATCCCATCGGATCATCCCGGAAATGATTTCCGAGAGGTTTTCCCTTAAACCAATCCATTGAATGTTGGCTGTTTGGCGGTCAAGTGCTATTTTTGGCCAAGGTTTGGATATTGCTGGGGCAGCGGATATGCACAATATCTCTTGGAGGCATTGCCTTCTGGCGATCTGATCCCTATACTTACCTTGGATCGAGCGCAGCAAGACCAATCTTGGGTTGGCTGGATGTCGCGTGACTTCGGCGCATTTTCTGCCGGTCTTGGACGCTTTACAGCACCACTTGAGCGCTATCACTTCCTGGGCCAATGGATGGCAAGGGCCTATGTGATCTCGGGGCTGAGCCTTTCCCCGGCAAATTTTCACAGCATCATCTATGAGAGCCTACTTGCTGGTCATGCAGTTACCCCCTTGCCGATGCCAAACGGATACCAGGACAGATTGCTCAAGCAAAGCGCTTGCACCAGAGCTGCTTGCGCTTTTTCACATGTATGATTTGCAATCTTCATTCGATCCTCATCCAATCTTCATTCAATCTTCATTTATTGTCCATTTGGTGGCTTCATGCTTCACTCGAGGAGAATTGGTCAGAGGGGGCCACCTGGCACCTATTCCTCCTAAGGTTGCAGACTGTGACCACCATGTCATGTCAGTGCAACGAATCAATCGCAGTCCTACTAGCTAAGATGTTCCACGCGTAGTTACATTGAGAGATGTTTTCTTAAATTGTGCCAAAGCATGCAGGATGCCGACATCATCCCTGAATGTGAATGGCTAGCAGCGATTTACCAATCGCGGCGCCAGCATGAAGTGGACTTTTACGGATGGCAGAGCTGTGACGAGATCCAAGACCCGGAGTCGGGCAGGCGAGAAGATGTTCTCTCCCACAAGTCATCCCAATATTTCCGGTCAATTTGACACATTTGCACGTTCGTGTCCTTTTTGGACCAGTCATTTGTGTCAGGTACACGCAGGAGAGCTGCTACAAGCCTCTGTACCGCAGCAAAAACTGGGGTGGATTTAGTAAGGTTCTTTGCGCTGATTGGTGGTGCTTCTATGTTTTAAGACATGGTTATAGAGTTGGTTTTTAACATATGTTACAAGTCATTCAGGGATATGTATGTGTTGCCCAAAACTCTCTTGATTTAACATATTGGAGAAAACGTATTGCTTCAAACATGTTTGTCTTGTTTAGATGTTACTGTTTCCATGATCGACTCATGTAAATTCATATGTCACATGCCTTGCCGAAGGCTAAACCCTCCTGAGCAAAGATCATTTACCAGTGTTTCCATAATGAATTCAGATTTCCTGTCCTGGCCAAGGAGGTACACCTTCCTGAGCAAGGATTTCATTCACAAGTTTTCATTATCACACCTCCTGACCAGGACCAAGGAGGTGCACGCAACAATCATTGACATGTTTTCATTATCCATCAGTGTCCTGACCAAGGAGGTGCACCCTCCTGAGCAAGGATCATTGACATTCATCATATAAGCTTCCTTGGCCAAGGAGGTACACACTCCTGAGAAAAGTGTTTTGTGAACTTCTTCTTTTTTTTTGCCACGCTCATTGCGCAGAGAGGCTTCTATAGTTTCCTGGACAATTGGTCAACACCAGCAGCTACTAGGGGGAAGTCACGCAAGGAGGCTCCTTAGGTCTCCTGTGTCAGTAGCAGCGTTTTCTCAACCAATGTTTTCAGCCATGTGTCAGACGAGCCAAGCGACAAGATTTGGCCAGCTCCTCATGCCGGTGAGCCCAAAGAGGTCGACTTTGTTTTGCAATTCTGAGAAGCCATGGAAGCAGGATGCAGCAACCTCAGCCCAGATGGTTCAACAGCAGCTTCTCCGCAGGGTGGGCTCAAAGACAAGCATGGCTATTTGATGAACAGCGCATCTTGACTGCACCAGAAGTTTCGACTCTTTTTGCTCAAGTTTTGTTACTAAACTAAACCCCTATGTTTAACACTGACAGCTGAGAACTCGGAGACACGCCAGTTAGCCAAAAAGATCCGAGCAGAGCTGCGCTGTTGAAGCTGCTATTTCCCAGACTGAGATTCAGATACTTGCTGAAGATCATTTTTGGACGTCGCCTCTGACCGTTGTCCGGAGTGTATCAACGTCTCATCGCCGCAGGGGAGACGCGGCTGAGGGGAAAAAATGGCCGAAGGGGTCACTTTGAACGGTGGCTGAGTGTCATTCAGTAATTTCTTTCATGGCGGCAGCCAGCTTGGCAGGCTTTCCTATCAGTTGATCAGTCATTATTATTGTTAGCTGCAAGCCGCACACATTTCCCTTTCTGCTTGACCGGCTCAAACCTAGGGATCAGCAAGTATGTCAGAGCAGTTGGGCAACTGTTCGCTTGGCGGCTATGATGATGATGCACATGTGAAAGCTTGCTCTGCAGGTGCAAAATGTGCTCGATGCACATGGGTGAAATATAAGCCTGTATGGCAGAAAGAATTAGCATGGTTGGACGCCAAAATGAATATGGAGAGTGGCAGTTGGGGCTTGGGCTGCCGACTGTGCCATGATGCTCAGGAAGTGAGTCCTGAAGCCATGTCCAAGTTTCCGGTTTCCAGGCATCACTTGCAAGGTATGAAGTGAACAGTGGTGACATTCGTGTGGCTCGTTTCCGCAAACATGCTGCTTCGCCTGCTCACCGCACTGCTGAAAGCTACCTATCTCCTGTGTGTCAGTGCCACCCGCCCAACTCAAGCAAACTCGTCCACGAAGGAGGTTCAAGCGAAGTCTCCTGTGCGCGACGACGGAAGAGAAAAGGTGAAATTGTTTTCGGCAACTTTGATTGCAGAAGGAGTGTCAAGAGCCTCCTGTCCTGCTGCAACTACGGCTGTCAATTGGCATGCGCTGCAATAGCAATCAAGGAGGCTCCAGTAGACTCCTGCAAGGACGGAGGCATCGTACTTCTGAATTCACTCAGTAACAAGGCACAAGGAGGTGCAAGAGGTCTCCTGGTCCTGTACAGGCCGAACGTTTCATGTTGCAAGGAGGCTTCTGCAGTCTCCTGTTGTCTATTTTTGCCTTCCGCGGGCAGCAAGTTGAGTTAAAAAAGATCGCTACTAAGGCCTCTCCCTACTATTTCCAGGAAGCAGTTCGACCGCCATGTGTTGCATGTGTTCACCATGTACAGCATGGCAGGCAAATACGCGTTTGGCCGCCGTGTTCGTACACGGTTTACCATGTGCTAACATGGCAGCCTCCTTTCTTTATCAAGGAGGCTGCGCCATGTTAGTGCACGGTCTGCCAGGTGGTAGCACGGCAGGCAAATACGCGTTTGGCCGCCGTGTTCTTACACGGTTGACCATGTGCTAACATGGCAGTCCTGGTCTTTGAACTCTCCAGAGGACCCGAATTTAGTACGGGTCATGAGCATGGCAGCCAAATACGCGTTGACTCTTGCAGCTGGCCCGAATTTAGTACGGGTCACGAGCATGGCAGTCAAATACGCGTTGAATGCTGCAGTTGGCCCGAATTTAGTACGGGTCACACGCATGGCATGGTACAACCGTCTTGATTTTAGCAGGAGACATTTTAAGATCCTTGCAGTCCTGGCCCAGCTGTGAGTGTACCTCCAACTTAGTTATTACTTCCCACGGCTGAGTTTCTGCAGAGTGGGTATTCGCCGAGACGTGCAAGTGAAGCACTTTGAGTGGCCAGTGCCTTTCAAGGAGCGGCTCACGCTCAAGCAGCTCCTTGGCAATCCTGCCATGGAATGGAAGTGCAACTTGCGGGAGAAGACACACGATGTCGACGGCTCAGCTCTATCCAGCACAGCCCGCAAGAACTTGATCCAGTTTCAAGACTTTTTGGACAAGAATCCGGCCAAACAAGACTCTGACTTCATTGTCGACACAGGCGGTTCTTCAGCAACTTGGATGGAGGACAAATGCCCCTGCCTCACTGCCACCAGATGCAAAGGAAAGCATTGCTACTGGTGGCATCAAGGCCAGAGGTTCCTCACCCCGATAGTTTTTTTTTTGCTTCAAGGCGTGTGGCCTGGGGCCTACAAGCCTGGAGATGTTGAAGAACTTCAACGTTTTCCACAAAGGGTATTAGGACATATGATTGGCAACGCCATGTCTGTTTGTGTAGTGCGACGCTTAGTGCGATGCATTTTCCAAGCACGTGGCATTCTTTGAAGAATAGGCGGCATGTTTCCAGTTTGACCTGTTGAAAATCATTTGAGTCAGCTGCGCTAGCCGTGGTTACCACATTGCTTGCACATTCAGTGCTGAACATTGCCGCAATGCAATTCAACCTCGGTTTTGCTTTGTCCATCGCATCGACCCATTCGACCCAGGTTTTGGCTCACAAAACTAGTCTAACCTGCAACATGGCAGCAGCAGGTGAGAAGAGATTGCCCCAAGGTGTCCTCAACAGAGCTGACTTGCAGTTGGGCGTCCAAGCCTTCTTGCTGTGGGATCCAGCACTCAAGGAGAAGAGCGCGTTTGAGCTGGAAAATGCTCGTGAGGCTTTGATTTTTTGCCAGCCTTTCTTCAAGGAAGACCGCACCAGGTCATGTGCGCTTGCCTGTGCCATCATGTTTTTCACCATCCTTCAGATGACGCTGGACCGCCCTGGCACAGAGCCCACAGACTGTACATGGACCGCTCACCTTTACACCAGGTCTGGACAAATCCAGCCTATGCAAGAGAAGATCGAGAAATGTCCAGCTTTGACATCGCGCGGGTTGCTTGCAGGAAAGGTTGGTGAGTTGGATAGCGCTGCTTCTTTTCTTTTGGGCGCCATCAACGCCATGCCTCATGACCTGCTGCCCCAGGCGCCGCATTTCGAAGGCTGCTTCGCTTGCCTGGACGACTTGTTGGTGCATATGAAGTTTCGACTTCACCAAAGTTCTTCTGCTAGTTAGGTTCGGGACCGAGGCATGTGAGCTGAACAAATGTCCTTTGGTGCTGCTCGCTTTCGCATAAACACAGTGGCCCCGAGAACGACCCGGAAACTTTCAAGGAGGACATCGCCCTTAATATCGAAACCTCCTGTAACGCCAAAGTTATTGATTGATCATAGCTCGACAGACATTATAAGGAAGGCCTTGCAAGGTCTCCTGCGCACAAGCCTGTTTTCAAGGAGGTGTTGCCTCCTTTGTTAAAATTTATGGGAGGCGCTGCTGTAAAGTTTGTGGAGGGCGCCACCGCGCAGAGCGCGGAGGGGCTCTGTGCCACAACAAAAACACCAGAATCACCTACTATACACATCGGATCTTTGCACAGTGACGCTTAGCATCAGTCATATTTGTTTTTTAGTTATAACTGATCGATTTGTAAACATCCGGAACACCATTCTTCAGTTTTAAATCCACATTACCACCCACTAAATAAAAGCAACGCCAATCACTTCATCACAGGAGCACCATCAATCAGCACAAAGAACCTTACTAAATCCACCCCAGAAAAGATGTGGACAGAGTTGGGTGTGAGATGGCGGTATATGGCACCACAGGCACCAACGGTTCGATGTGCTTGTTTTCGGGCCTCAGGGCACTTCTTCCCACCTTGGGTTTTCATTCATTCTATCCGAAGATGGGAGCAGGAGTACGATTTGTATCCCTGTTGGCAAGAACCACAGGCCATTTCGCGATGTAGCTACTGGGGATGGGTTCCCCAAGCGCCTGAATTGACCTCGTGTTCTTTGGTTGGTGGTTCTTCCTTCCAATCACTTTTCTGAAGAAGGATGGCTGATTGACAATGTCAACCCCGGATTCGTAACTCCACAGTGGGTTATATAATCGAGAGACGCCATGCGGAATTGGAATCTATTTTTAGCAGTGTCCCAGCAATAGACTCAGTAGATGTAAATGGAAGCTCTAGAACATCGTCTCCGCAGACATGCGTAGACTACGGCTTCAATCCCGCAGGGCACCAAAGCTGAAGACTTTGTTCCATTTGAGCGGGCTCGCGAGTTCACCATGCTCCAGTGCAAAAGCAGGTGGGAGCAATACTTTCAGGCTGAGTGGGGACGGTGGGGAGCTCGTTTTTGTTTGATTGATTCAAGTTCTAGATTTTCTGTAGCCGATTTCTAGAGTATTGCTTTGAGGCTGGTGGTGGGAAAGGCTGCCTGGAATCCTTTCCTTCTTTTCTAATTGAACCCCTTCAAAGATCTGAAAAATGGTTTGATTGGGACTAGACAAAAAAAAGCACCTCTAACTTGATCGTCCCATTCGCAAACTGGCTTGTATAGCCGCAGACAAGCGCCCATCAGAGGCAAGCCTGCCTTTATTGGCTTCAAACCTATTAGCATGGCCAGTGAGAAGTTACTAGCTGGGAGGCCCACCTAAGTAAGAGATAGTCAGATAGTCATGCACTCCATGATGCATCAGAGATGCCTTTCATATCAACTAGGATACTTTGATTGCGAGCTCCAGCCACTGCGAGCGCCAACTCGAATAATTAGTTCAGTGAGCATGGGCTTCAACCCCCCATGAAGTGACGAGACCCTACGGCATGCACGAGATATTCACATGATCTGTGATACATGTAGGTCTGAACAAGTTCGCCCATGGACAGGCTCACCCCCTGCAGGCTCCTTTGGCTGCAATGGTGAAAGGCTTCCGCCAAGTCATCTCGGACCCCACATTCTGGAAGCAGGCGGACAGCAAGGCCTTGAAGCACTTGGTGGAGGGAGATTCAGAGATCAATGTGCCACGAATGTCTGAGGCCATTGAGTTTGAAGGGAAATGGACTGATGCTCAGAAGCAAGTGCTGTTGGACACCCTCCATGACCTGAGCAAGAAAAATAAGGGCCTCCCTCCTTCCAAGAATGCCTTGAACAAGTTGCTCCGATTCTTCACCGGTTCCTCCAAAGAGCCCGTGGGCGGCTTCCAGCAGTTGAAGTTTCAGCTTGACACCGACGCAGATGACACCGACACGTATGGCTCACGTCCCTGCCCCAAATTGCGTGGCCGCAAAGAAGAGAAGGAACTACTCATAGCGGCGAAATGTTTGACCAATTCCTCAGTGCTGACTCAGAGCATCCAACGAATCACCAACTTGCTTCCTGGCCCTGCCGTTGCCCGGCTTACAAGGCTAAGAACCCTGGCCAGATGGTCCTTTCCAGAAAAGGATTTTGGTTTTGCCGGTGTCACAGTCACCGTCAATCGCACAGGCTGGGGCTCATGAAAATTTAAAGATATATAAACTGATGCGCACTTTGTTGCGGAAGGTGATAATCTAGAGTTCTTGCCAGCCCTCTAGGCACAGGTGATGCCTCCGTCTTTGAGCAGACCAGGATTTTTTTTTGGAAACCAAACCGGAAGATTGGCGGTCCTCTTGGGAGAGTCGCAAGTTCAAAATCAGTTTCGGGGGCGAGGTGGGCATAGATGAGGGAGGTCTGACGAAAGAATGGCTCCACCTGGTACTGGAGTCCGTTGTGATGCGAGAGAAGAACGAAGACCAAGGTGGGCTGAAGTGCTTGAAGTTTCTTTGGCAAACCATGGCAATCCATCCCGGGGTTCTTACGGGATTCTTAGCAACCAACAAGCAAATTTGTAAGGGCTTATGATTTGGCTGTATATCAGCTACATACAATTGATTCCACTATGGGGGGTTACAGTACTTATACCTTTTCGGAGGGCTGCTCAACTTCCGGTATCTTCCAGTACTGCAGCTGGACCTTTAAATTCAAGATTAAGCAGAGAGTATTGTTATTGTTTTGGTTTTTGGCAAGCTCTCTATTTCAGCAGGACTTAGTTGACCTAGCCTGTTCGATTCAACTGGGTCAACTTTTATGGCTAGAAGTGGATGTAGCTGAGAGAAAAACATGCCGTGTTTTGAGGTTGGCGATGAAACCTTGGCAAAACATATGATATCAGATCCACCAAAAACATATAAAAACATACAAAAACAGGGGATCCTGCATGATCCTGCCGGCCTTTTGGATGTAGAAACTGGAGCTGTCCAAGTTCTGTTTGTGACGGAACGGGCTGAAGACTTTCAACTGGCTCTCTTGACGCCTAAGGTTTGGAGAGTGCTCTCGCACAGAGGCACCGCAATTTCTGTTGGAGGCCTTGCCCTCTGGCAATCTGATTCCTATCCTCAGCTTCGAGCGCGGCAGTGACGATGATTTTTGGTCTTCGTGGATGTCCGGTGACTTCGGAGCTTTTGCTGTCGGCCCAGGCCTTCAGAAGCTTTCTGCGCTTGAACGCTTCAACTTCTTGGGCCGATGGATGGCAAGGGCTTACATCATCTCGAGTGTGGGCCATTCTCCGGCAAGCTTTCACAGCGTCATCTACGAGAGCATCGTTGCTGGTCGGGCAGTTGCACCAGAGCCCGCGCCAAATGCATACCAGGACAGGCTGCTCTGTCAACCGTATTGCTTATTGCTTGTGCCATTTACCATTGCTGCGTCGTGGCTTCATGCTGCATTGGAGGATCATTGGCCTGGACATGTGCATAGCTGATACATTAGATTAGCTTAGCTTAGAGTAGAATAACGTTTCGTCCTGATTTGTGTGTACCCCCCCTCAAACAGTAGCTATACCCTCTTTCAGGTTGGGTGTCAAAAAACTCCTCCCCAGAAAAATACGATCTCGCATTTAAGTAAGGATTTCAATTGGCGACAATTGAAATCTATTTCCCGAGAGCGCCTGCGAAGGGTTCTTCGTAAAAAAAGCAGCCGTTGTAATACATCTTCACACCCTCACATCTGCTGATCTACATCTTCACACCCTCACATCTGCTGATCTACATCTTCACACCTTCACATCTGCTGATCTACATCTTCACACCCTCACATCTGCTGACCTACATCTTCACACCTTCACATCTGCTGTCTACATCTTCACACCATCACATCTGCTGATCTACATCTTCACACCCTCACATCTGCTGATCTACATCTTCACACCCTCACATCTGCTGATCTACATCTTCACACCTTCACATCTGCTGATCTACATCTTCACACCCTCACATCTGCCGATCTACATCTTCACACCCTCACATCTGCTGATCTACATCTTCACACCCTCACACCTGCTGATCTACATCTTCACTCCCTCACATCTGCTGATCTACATCTTCACACCCTCACATCTGCTGATCTACATCTTCACACCTTCACATGTGCAGATCTAGATCTTCACACCCTCACATCTGCAGATCTCCTCTCGCTCTTCTTTCTATCTCTCTCTTAAGGCGGGGGCGGTGCGGCCGGAGCGCCACGAAACGCAACCCTTTCGCACCAACCCTTTCGCACGAAATGGACGTTGGACGTCAAAAACTGAGGAAAAATTGCGAGTTTGAGGTGTCCATCGCAACCCTTTCGCACGAAATGGACGTTGGACGTCAAAAACTGAGGAAAAATTGCGATTTTGAGGTGTCACGGGCAACCATTTCGCACGAAATGGACGTTGGATGTCAAAAACTGAGGAAAAATTGCGAGTCTAGTTAGTCCATTGCAACCCTTTCGCACGAAACGGACGTTGGACGTCAAAAACTGAGGAAAAAAAGCGAGTTTGAGGCGTCCATCGCAACCCTTTCGCGCGAAACGGACGTTGGACGTCAAAAACTGAGGAAAAATTATGATTTTGAGGTGTCACGGGCAAGTCTATGTGTAAATGTTTCTGTGTGTAAAGGCTTCTGTATGTAAAAGTGTCTGTGTGTAAAAGCAGTGTAAAATGGTCTGTGTGTAAGGGTGTCTATGTGTAAAAGCTCCTGTGTGTAAAAGCGTCTGTGTGTAAAGGCGTCTGTGTGTAAAAGCTTCTGTGTGTAAAAGTGACTGTGTGTGACATGGTCTGTGTGTAAAAGTGTCTGTGTGTAAAAGCAGTGTAAAATGGTCTGTGTGTAAGGGTGTCTATGTGTAAAAGCTCCTGTGTGTAAAAGCGTCTGTGTGTAAAGGCGTCTGTGTGTAAAAGCTTCTGTGTGTAAAAGTGACTGTGTGTGACATGGTCTGTGTGTAAAAGTGTCTGTGTGTAAAAGCAGTGTAAAATGGTCTGTGTGTAAAGGTCTGTGTGTAAAAGCTCCTGTGTGTAAAAGCTTCTGTGTGCAGAAGCGTTTGTGTGTAAAAGCGTCTGTGTGTAAAAGCTTCTGTGTGTAAAAGCGTCTGTGTGTAAAAGCGTCTGTGTGTAAAAGCGTCTGTGTGTAAAAGCTTTGTGTGTAAAAGCGTCTGTGTGTAAAAGCTTCTGTGTGTGAAAGCGACTGTGTGTAAAAAGCGTCTGTGTGTAAAAGCTTCTGTGTTTAGTAAAAGCGTTTGTGTGTAAAATGGTCTGTGTGTAAAGGTGTCTGTGTGTAAAAGCTCCTGTGTGTAAAAGCTTCTGTGTGCAGAAGCGTTTGTGTGTAAAAGCTTCTGTGTGTACAAGCTTCTGTGTGTAAAAGCGTCTGTGTGTAAAAGCTTCTGTGTGTAAAAGCGTCTGTGTGTAAAAGCTCCTGTGTGTGAAAGTGACTGTGTGTAACATGGTCTGTGTGTAAAAGTGTCTGTGTGTAAAAGCGTTTGTGTGTAAAATGGTCTGTGTGTAAAGGTGTCTGTGTTCTGTCTCTGTGGACATGGTGTTGCAGTCATTCTTTGGTGATTGTGTTTTCTGATTGTTCCAATTCAAGCATGGAGTTTTACCGCACAAGTCTGTGCGAGCGGCATTCAACTGCATTTTCTACAAAAGAATCGTTTGGTCGGAGCCATGTTCTGTGCGTAAAAGCGTCTGTGCGTAAAAGTGTCTGTGTGTAAAAGCGTCTGTGTGTAAAGGTGTCTGTGTGCAAAAGCGTCTGTGTGTAAAGGAGTCTGTGTGTAAAAGCCTCTGTGTGTAAAAGCGTCTGTGTGTACAAGTGTCTGTGTGTAAAAGCGTTTGTGTGTGTAAAAGCGTCTCTGTATAAGAGCGTCGCGTTTCTTCACATCCGAGGAATGACGGTACCGAGCTTTTTCGGCAGTGTGTGTAGGAATTACAATAGTAAAATGAGATAACACATGTCGTTCGCAGCATCATGGTACCGAGCCTCCTGTGCATTTTTGTTGCTCACATTATATTTCTAGCGAAAGAGTTCTACCGCCCTTTCATTTTCTCTCTCACTCCTCCCTCTTTCTCTCTGTGGTTGCAAGACACGTGTCATCTGATGCCCTTTACCAAGTATCCTCTTCTTAATCAATCTTACTTTTTCACACCATATCTTTCCATAGCTCATATAAAAATCACCAACTATTCACCGACTATTTTTTACGATTACCATCCTCAGAGCTGCTTGAAAAACATCTTTTTCGCTCTCGGGCCAACCGTCGTCTAGTTTTTTTTGCCGATGAACTTGTGATATTTGCAGTGCTTGTAGTACCTTGTAGTGAGTGGGTTCAGCATGTTGATTGCGTTACCGTTTCCACCTTAAGTTCTTTATTCAAGCTGTAATAAGAGAAAGAGAAAGGGAAAGAGAGAAAGAGAAAGAAGAAAAAGGAGGAGGAAGAAGAGAAACAGGAAGAGGGAGAGGAAGAGGAAGAGGAAGAGGAAGGGGAAGGGGAGGAGGAAGATAAAGAGAAAAACATTTGTAGGATGTTTTTCTTCCTTCTCTTGGCTCCAAGATCAGCTCTGGAAAAATTTGATCAATGTGAACCCTGAGAACAAAACTACTAAAGTGAACTGGACCCTCTCATGGCCCAGTGCCTTGGAAATTTGTGGAAAAGCTGTTACTTAATAAGGGCTCAATAAGCGGTCTGTATGTAATGGTATGAAATGGTATGTAGTGGTATGTAATGGTATGTAATGGTATGTAGTGGTATGTAATGGCATGTAATGGCATGTAATGGCATGTAATGGCATGTAATGGGATGTAGTGGTATGTAATGGTATGTAGTGGCATGTAATGGTATGTAATGGCATATAATGGTATGTAATGGTATGTACTGGTATGTAATGGTATGTAGTGGCATGTAATGGCATGAATGGCATGTAATGGCATCTAATGGCCTGTAATGGTATATAATGGCATGTAATGGCATGTAATGGTATATAATGGTATGTAATGGTATGTAATGGGATGTAATGGCATGTAATGGTATGTAATGGTATGTAATGGCATGTAATGGTATGTAATGGTATGGCATGGTATGGCATGGTATGTAATGGTTTGTAATGTTATGTAATGGTATGTAATGGTATGTAATGGTATGTAATGTTGTGTAATGTAATGTAATGTAATGGTATGTAATGGTATGTAATGGTATGTAGTCGTATGTAATGGTATGTAGTGGTATGTAATGGAAAGTAATGGTATGTAATGGTATGTAATGGTATGTAATGGCATGTAATGGTATGTAATGGTATTTAATGCAATGTAATGCAATGTAATGTGATGTAATGTAATGTAATGGTATGTAGTGGTATGTAATGGCATGTAATGGCATGTAATGGCATGTCATGGTATGTAATGGCATGTAATGGCATGTAATGGGATGTAGTGGTATGTAATGGTATGTAATGGCCTGTAATGGCATGTAATTGTCTGTAATGGTATGTAACGGTATGTAACGGTATGTAATGGTATGAAATGGTATGTAGTGGCATGTAATGGCATGTAATGGCATGTAATGGCATGTAATGTCATGTAGTGTAATTTAATGTAATGGGATGTAATGGTATGTAGTGGCATGTCATGGTATGTAATGGCATGTAATGGCATGTAATGGGATGTAGTGGTATGTAATGGTATGTAGTGGCATGTAATGGTATGTAATGGCATGTAATGGTATGTAATGGTATGTAATGGTATGTAATGGTATGTAGTGGCATGTAATGGCATGTAATGGCATGTAATGGCATGTAATGGTATGTAATGGCATGTAATGGCATCTAATGGCCTGTAATGGTATATAATGGCATGTAATGGCATGTAATGGTATATAATGGTATGTAATGGTATGTAATGGGATGTAATGGCATGTAATGGTATGTAATGGTATGTAATGGTAAGAAATGGTATGTAATGGTATGTAATGGTATGTACTGGTATGTAATGGTATGCAATGGCATGTACTGGTATGTAATGGAATGTAAGGGCATGTAATGGGATGTAGTGGTATGTAATGGTATGTAGTGGCATGTAATGGTATGTAATGGTATGTAATGTTATGTAATGTTATGTAATGTAATGTAAGGTAATGTAGTGTAATGTAATGTAATGGTATGTAATGTAATGTAATGTAAGGTAAGGTAAGGCAAGGCAAGGTAAGGTAAGGTAGGTATGTATGTGTGTAATGCAATGCAATGCAATGTCATGTAATGTAATGTAATCTAATGTAGTGTGGTGTAGTGTAGTGTAATGCTATGTTATGTTATGTATGTATTTAATGTATGTATGTATGTATGTAATGTAATGTAATGTAATGTAGTGTAATGTAATGCAATGCAATGCAATGCAATGCAACGCAACGCAATGCAATGCAATGCAATGTATGTATGCATGCATGCATGTATGTATGTATGTATTTTTTCATTTTCACAACATTATGTATGTAATACTAGACGCACGTATATATACATATATATATATATGAACACCATCATATTGCGAATTCCTACAACAAAGCCTTGGACAGAACCACACCACGTCATCTGTTGAGCAACCAGATGCAATCTGCAGGATGAGGATATCATCCCAGAATGCGAATGGCTGGCCGGGATCTACGGTTTGCGACGGCCACACGAGCTGGGGACCTATGGATGGCAGAGCTGTGATGAGATCCAAGACCCTGAGTCGAGCAGGCGAGGGGGATTTTCTTCAACGAAGTCAAACCGGTTTTGTGTCCGCGGTAAGGTTGGAATCCCAAGAGCAAACAAATTTATGTGCATCAGATTGCCGGCTCACGTTATTTATTTTGGGCTTGCTGCTTGCTCCAGGTACACGCAGGATAGCTGCTACAAACCCCTATACCGCAGCAAAGAGATGTGGGAATACTTGTACACTGAATGGGGCTCTTTGGCACCACAGGCGCGATAAGCAGCATTTTTGCCCACTGGGCATTTTGAAACAAAGAAAGGCTAACCAGTTTAGCTCTTAGGCCACCAGACCCTGTGGCAGCTTTCCAAGAAATGGATGCAGACATATGCAGACATATCCTGAGGGTGGGAAGCTAGCTGGATCCCAAAGCCAAAAAACCAGACCAAAACGAAGCATAAACCAAAACATCTTGCATGGCAAAGATGCAGCGGAGCTTGCAGTTGGGGTCTGGCAGTGCCCACTGAGATTTGGAGGAGCTCGCAGTTGAGGTCCTGCAGTGTCCACTGAGATCTGGAGCTGGAAGGAGGAGGAAGGAGGAGGAAGGAGGAGGAAGGAGGAGGAAGGAAGAGGAAGGAGGAGGAAGGAGGCAAGCAACTCTGATAAAACCTAGAGACCCTCACCTGGCAGGTGGGGGAGAAAAAAAAACAAGGTAAAGAAATAATAAGAAATACAAAAGGACAATAAAAACAGAAAGAAAGGATCAAAGAAAGAAAGACACACAGAGAGAAAGAAAGAAAAACAGAAAGAAAGAAAAAAAGAAAAAAAAAGGAAGAAAGACAGAAAAAAAGAAAGAAAGCCGGAGAGAGAGCAGAGGCAAGCCATTACCATACATGTCAATAAGAGGGTGCAACGGGACCAAGCCACAGAGAGTAAAACACAAGGACAGACAGCTTTGACAGAAGTAGCACCCAGCATGTCACACAGCGTTGGACGGTTCCACGTTCTGTCCCAGGGCATCGAAGCTGACGACCTTGTTCCATTCGATAGAGCCCGCGAGTACACCTCGATGAAGTGCAAAAGCAAATGGGGGCAAGACTTCCAGGCCGTGGTATGCATGTTTTTCAGTCTTAAGTTAGGCCCCCCAGTTTGAGTACTTCTTTCGTCCAATTTCAAAAATGTTTTTCATGTGAGGCTCCTGTGGTTGAATTGGTCAAGGGCTTCCGCGAAGTGGTCTCAGACGCTGCGTTCTGGAAGGAGGTGGACAAATGGGACTTACAGTACATGGTGGAAGGAGATTCGGAAGTCGACGTGGCAGGCCTCATTGAAGCCAGTCATTTCAAGGGCGATTGGACGAGGGAGCAGAAGCAAGTGCTGACCGATAGCCTCTTTGACCTTGCCAAGAAAGGCAAGGGCGTCCCTCCTTTCCAGAACACGTTGAATAAACTTCTGCGCTTCTTCACCGGTTCCTTCAAGCCGCCCCCTGCGGGCTTCAGCTTGTTCAGGAAGCCGGTCACCTTCCAGCTCGTGGTCAATGATCGATGTGCTCCATTGGTTGGGAAGACTTGCTTCGACATGCTGCTGGTTCCGGCTGGCTGCCTTACGAACACCTCCACACTCGAAGACATGATCAAAGAGTCCGTGGCATCTGAAGGCTTCTATCTCGCGTAGCACGGAGAAGCGGCGCCGTGGAAAATTGATCGGACATGTGCAGAACAGAAAGCTCATGCGAGCCTTGCATAGCCTTGCTGTTGTATCTCAGGCTGAAATGGGAAAACCTCTGAGACATGGTAGGATGAAGCACTAGCAATGGCCAGCAACGAGAATTCCCAACATGGGATGCTTGCTTCAAGCACCAAGAATCGACAAAAACCAAAGCAATGGCCGACGGCTGAAGCATCAATGGCCAAGAGAGGCCCTCACAATGGGATGGTTGAGGCAGAAGGTATAAACTCACATCCTATACCGGGATGTTTGTAAAACACCAGTGGCAAGCACACATTTTTTTAAGATAGAATGGTTGAAACACCAGGAGATGATCAACAAAAAGAAACAGAAAAGGACGTCAGGAGGGCCCCAGTTTACCACGTTTCTAAAAATGCAGTGTTTTGAGGTGTGTTTAAACAACACATTTAGAAGACAAATATGTTTGCTTTACAGCTTTCTCATTGAGTATCCAAAAAGGTATCGTTTGTTTTTTTGAATTAAGAATAAATTTAATTGATTATATAGAGCGTCTTGGAAAGTCTGAAGCTTCAGAATGCATAGGAAGAAAGTGATTGATTCTAGGGAACATTAAAAAATATACATAAATATATGCATGTATGGTCTAAGGGAGGGTCAGTCCCAAAAAAAACATTGGGGGGACCCTCCCGTAGACCATATGTGTATATATCTATATATTTATTTGACTTCCCTTAGTCTCTCTCTCTCTCTATATGTATTATATATATTTGACAGTGGCAAGCTGTGGGAGTGCGCTGTTTCATAGGTGTTGCTGTGCATTCTCAACAGCCCTCCCAATGTCCTACATAGATACATAGTTTCAGCCAAAACAAACATTAATAATAAATAAAAACAACAAGACAAACAAGTGCAAATGCCTTTCCAAAGAGTGCAGCATTGCTTCAAAAATGTATAGACTACATCTCTACAGGAGTTTCCCTCAACATATGCAATAGTTCTTTTGGACATGTGCATTCTAAACAGGGACCAATTTATGCAATATGATCTCTATAAACAATGAAGGAAACATAAATTTGCAAACTGCACTTTTAAATTGATTTTGCATAAAGAATACAATTCCTCAATGCATCAACCCTTTGCAACAAGTGTGGCATTGTTTGAAAGATAAGTAACATTAAAAAATGTGCATTTTAAACAGGCAACTTGTAAAATGACTTTGCATAAAGAACACCATTCCTCCATGTATGCAACAACCTTTTGCAAACATTGTTGCATTCTTTGAAATATGTGTAGCATTACTTCCCAATTTCAAGGAGAACCCTCCTATGTATATACTGAATGATTTCAGAAATCATAACATTCCTGTAGGAAAATGTAGCATGCTGTTTTGCAAGATTGAATCTATTCTTGAATTACAACAGCATGGCTTTGAAAAGGGTGCCATCTTAGTGACACATTCATTGAAACATGTGTTTTACCGTTGAAAGTGCAGATTCTTGTTTGCAAAGTGTGCAACATTATTGTAAGGAAGTGTAGCAAGAGCTTACTGTAGATTCCATTGATGATGCAAACGCCTGTTTAAATACATGCGTTTTTTGTTGTAAAGCAAGTATTGCGCCACCTTCTGCAATATGGCCTTTGAAAGAGTACAACTGTTCTATGGAAATGTTGTTTTGTTTTGAAAAGGGTGGTATGTGACTCGACTTTCAAAAGGCCTTCACAATGTGCAATATCTTATCTTTGTAAGCAAAGTAGAATATGGCTTCAAACAATGCAACACAAATTGTAATTATAAATAGTAAATCTTAATGCAAACATATTCAAATATAATTATGGCAATGTAAACAGGTGCTACATGCCTATGCAAAGAGTGCAGTAGCACAATTGCCTACAATATCTCTTTCAAACTAGTGCAGCATTTGCTCGGAAAAAAATGTCATATTACTGCAAGCTGTGCAGCATTCGTGTCAATCAAGGGAAGCCTTCCTTTGAAGATGCACATATGTATGTATGTATGTATGTATGTATGTATGTATGTATGTATGTATGTATGTATGTATGTATGTATGTGTGTGTATGTGTGTGTGTGTATGTGTGTGTAATGTATGTATGTATGTAATGTAATGTAATGTAATGTAATGTAATGTAATGTAATGTATGTATGCATGTAATGTATGTGTATGTATGTATGTATGTATGTGTGTGTGTATGTATGTATGTATGTAATGTATGTATGTATGTATGTATGTATGTATGTATGTATGTATGTATGTATGTATGTATGTATGTATGTATGTATGTAATGTATGTAATGTATGTAATGTATGTAATGTATGTAATATATGTAATGTATGTAATGTATGTAATGTATGTAATGTATGTAATGTATGTAATGTATGTAATGTATGTAATGTATGTAATGCATGTAATGTATGTAATGTATGTAATGTATGTATGTAATGTATTAAATGTATTAATGTATGTATGTATGTATGTATGTATGTATGTATGTATGTAATGTATGTATGTATGTATGTATGTATGTATGTATGTAATGTTATGTATGTATGTATGTAATGTTATGTATGTATGTATGTAATGTTATGTATGTATGTATGTAATGTTATGTATGTATGTATGTATGTAATGTTATGTATGTATGTATGTATGTATGTTTGTTATGTATGTATGTATGTATGTATGTAATGTATGTATGTATGTATGTATGTAATTAATGTATGTATGTATGTATGTATGTATATGTAGTTTTAAAAAAGAATAGTTTCTTGGCAAATCTGTGTAGCATCCCTCCAAGAAAGTGTGACATGAGTCGACAGCAGATTCCATCGATGATGCAATAATGCTTGAGAAGATAGTCGTATTACTTCAGCAAAGTGTACCACCAATTTATGCAACATGTGTTTCAAAAAAGTATAGCATGAAACTAAGGTTATTATCTAGGACATGGCCGAACATTTCAAAATTGGAACGCGCAGTCTTGATCCTCAGACCCAGTATGTTCATAGCTGCAGTGGTTAAACGATTGGTTCCTGCAAGCTTGAACGCATGAAGACACCAAACGGCCAGTGTACAGAAAGGTGCAGATGGCTGACGGTGACCAAAACCAAAAAAAACCTTGGAAACCAAAAAAAACAAAAAAAACAACAACAACTCAACAACATAATTTTCAGAGAGTCTTGGCTGGGACCCGCCCCCCTTCCAAAGAGTCTAGAACTATTTTTTTTTTGTGTGTTTTTTGGTATGCTATCTGCTTTTGTAGCTAGTGCTGCTTGTATGTGACAGTATTTGCAAAATTTCCTGTTTACCTGCATTGTTGGCTTACCGGAGACACATGTACAAGTTCAGGTAGGCCCTAGACAAGACTACACATGTATACGCAATTGATTGCCAAAATTTCTTACATGAGACTCTAAGTGTCTGGAATGGCCATGCATGTGATGGGTTGAAGCTGATCACTGCTACGTGCATGTAAGATTGATTTAGCCATGTTGTTCCAAGATTGGTTCTAAGCATTCTTATATATTCCATGCGCACTATATAAAAGGTTGAAAAAATGAGTTTGCACTGTGCATATGTGAGAAGAGTGATTTGCCCCATGCCTTTTCATGATCATTATTAGTTTGTGATGAAGTTTGCACTTTATTGCAAGACTTAGTAGAGCCATTGAAATCTGTTCACGCTTGGGTTCATCTTGGGACAAAACTTGAGTCCTGTAAGGTGTCAATCCCTGATATACCCTTTGTAACTACAACTGCTGTACTTTAGTTTTTTTCCGGGTACTAAGCAATTGTAATACAGTTGCATGAGCAAATTCATAGGGTGATGTGAAAACGGGCACTGCACTTGTTCAACATGGACTATGAGATTTGCTTAGCTTTTCTCATTGATCATTTTCGGGTATTGTAACACAGCTGTGTATATATATATATACATATGCATGTTACATGTTCATATGATGATGCACATATTGAATCTGCTACTTGCCATTTGTGTATTTACTACAATGTAGAACCAAGGGTATGAGCCCTGTCTCCACCCCTACTATGTTATTCTATATGAACTTTCCAGAACCAAATGACATATACAATAGGTAACAGAAACAAAAACATATAAACAACATAGAAAAAACCAAGAACAAAAACTATGAGTAGAAATAACCTCAATTTATCAAAAAAACGTCACAAAACACTGTAAAAATGGGGCCCTGGTGGCGTCCCTCTCTCAAAAGAAAATGGGATTGCTGAACCATCAAGAGAAACACAAAAAACATCCGGAAATCTGAACGTGGGAGTGCTCTGCGCCAAAGGCTGCCAACACATCAACAATGGGATGGCGGAGCCAAGAAAAGTGAAAATTAAAACCTGGGATGGTTGAAGCGCCGGGAATTGGCAGCTTCCAAAATTGGGATGGTTGCGCCAACAATTAACAAAATTTCCAAAAACACGAATTAACAAGAATTTAGACAAATGTTTGCTCCAGGTAGCCTTGGTTGGTGAGAAGTTAGATGCTGGCTTCAGGCGTCATCTTGCCACATGCTTGTAGTGTTGCCATGGCAAGACCCTCACGGGTAGAATTCGTCATACCGTTTGTTGAGCAGTAGCCTGCCTGTCAACCAACCGCCATCTCAGTGATTGCTCAAGTCAACTGGTGTTGTTGATCCCATTTCCGTTTGCCAACTCCAATTCCAACATGGTCCTCACCAGAGTGTGCGTGGTGCTGTTGAGCCTCGGCCCAAAGATGGCTGAACAGGTAATGTATTTCACAGTTTGGTATGAACTATCTAATATTTGTAGAGAGATGTATATATATATAAATATACACTTAAACATAACTATAATATATAAATATAGCAAATAAATAAACAAACAAACAAACAAACAAATAAATAAATAAATAAATAAATAAATATATAAATAAATAAATAAATGAATAAATAAATAAATATATACATATCATGACTGTTTCGAAGTAGTCTTGCTGTTCTGCTGCTACGCATGCCTTTCCTATATGAGTCGCTTGTCCGTCGCCGGAGCCCATTCTTGAGCTGCTAGTGGCCAGTTGATTTGGCTATCGAAGATGTGGTAAGAAACCAATGCACATTTTTGATCTTTGGATATCTTTGGTGTCACGTCCACATTTTCCTATCTTTGGCAATGCCTGAAAGATGCTTTTGGACAGATACTTTCCGAGCTCAACATGCGGCCCTAAGGTGGTGAATCCTTGTTGGAACAGGCCCTGAAGATGCTTTCACAGGTGAGAGTTTGAGTGCGGATGTGCCACGGGACTTAGCAGTGACGGGTTGCTGACCCATGGCTTCATTGCTAAGAGAGAGAGGGAGAGGGAGTCTTGTGAGTTAACTTCGGGTGAGACCAGACATTTCAGCATTTATGAACTTTGAGCCCTCTTTGAGGCTCCTGTGACTGCAATGGTAAAGGGCTTCCGCCAAGTCATTTCAGAGCCACGTTTTGGAATGAAGCGGATGCTGAAACCTTGCGGCAGCTGGTGGAAGGAGATTCGGAAGTGAATGTCGCATGACTGAGGCCGCCCAATATAAAGGTGGGTGGTCCGAGGATGAGAAGAAAGTGCTAGACACTTCAGCAAGAAAAACAAGGGCCTCGCACCTGTCCAGAATACCTTGAACCAGCTGCTCCGCTTCTTCACTGGTTCCTTCAAAAGAGCATGTGGAGGGCTTCAACAAGAAGAAATTGTGGTTTCAAAAGCTTGCAGGTGAGCGATGTGCGCCTTTGATTGGGACGACTTGCTTCGACAAGATTGTGATTCGAGCGGGATGCCTGAAAAGCATTTCCATTCTTATTCTTGAAGGCACGATCAAAGAATCGGTGGCTGTTGAAGGCTTTCATATGTCTTGATGCCGTGTCCATGGTTGAGAGAAAAAGAAGCTGCTGGTAGCTGCTGTGTCGGGAGATATCGGGAGATTGGCACCCAAAACGCCCATGATATTCACTTCACCTAAAGACCTGCAGCTGGATGCAGGTTTCTGCTGGACCTAAGTATGGAAGGGCGGGTAAATCTCATCACCAGTCACCTGGGCGTCTCAGTAGACCGCAGGAAGAAGGAAGCCACAAGGAAGCGTTGCTTGGCTGACGAGGTGCTGTTTCGAGTTCCGGGCCTGCTCCAGGATCAAAGTTTCCATGGGGTTGTTTCAACATGTTTCAACATGTTTCAAAATTTCTGTTCCCCGTTTGATTGCCAGACGAAAACCCTATGGGAAACTTTTCCAGCATCTCGCGGGCCATCGGGACCAAGGGAAGAAGCAAAGACAGATGATCGGTTGATGGAAGAGCAGGAGCAGCAGCGGCAAGAGAAGTTCAGTGCTGGGCTGAGGTTTTTGACCTTTCGCTGAAGCATGACTAGCTGCGAAGTTACAACAAAATGTAGGTTTGAAAGTTTGAATGGGAAATATCATTGAACATATTTCAAACTAAATGGACGACTTTAGAGCTAGCCAGGTTTGATTACCGGAGGGTACATGTTTGCGTTCAAGAGTTCAAGAGTCGGGCTCAATTTGACCTTTTGCAGATTGATGAAAGTAGTTAAAAGAGAATTTGGATTTCCCATTTGCCAGCCCATGTCTGGCATATTGCATATTTGCCAACATTTATTGCCAGAATGACCTAGTTTTGTGGTGTGCTTGAAGTAAATGTCAACATACCATACATGAGGGGATATGGGTGGGCTGGGCAAGGCCCATAGAATATGAATCTTTCAATGACACAAACTGAAAAATACGTTCACTTTCAGATATATAGATACGTGCTTGTTTGTGCGTATGCTCCTGAGAGAGATGCGTATATCGATTTTTTCTGCCCCCCAAACAGGCTACTGTCGTTTGATGCAAAAAAGGACGAAGGATCAGAACTGTTGAAAATGTGAATCATAGCCACTAAGCCTACGCTGGGTGGGAAATGGGTTAGAATTGGTTGGTCATGGCCTCCCGAACCCCCAATGTGGCCCAGATCACCTGGTGGAGAACAGTGAGAGCTTGCGAGATTTGGCGTTCAAGGTGAGCGCGTTGCCAGAGCCACCTGAAGCTCGGCTTAACCTCGCCGTGAAACCGTATGAAACCGTTAGGTTCCATGTTGGTTTGCAAGATGCAAGAACTAAATGTGTCTTGGAAGTGCAGGCTCTGTTTTCTGGCTCTTGATTTGTAGTGGATGCTTGGAACCCTCAAAGTAGTACATTACTCTGTGCAGATTGCCATGGCCATGGTTTTTTCTTTGCAATTGGTAGCCCCCAAAAACCATCCAAAACGGTTTTCCCCGAAGAAAGATCAGGCCCGTAGTTTTTCGAAACAGTTGCTACAGCTTGAGGTTAGCTTCACGCCGATCAAAAGCAACATTTACCGCTATTGGGCAACTTGGATGACCCATCGAAACCGTCAGCATTTGACATCATTTGACCAGTGGTGGGCCCCCCAATTCAAGACATGCACAACACATTGGGCTGTCCAGATCAAACAGAGTTTTTGGGGATGAGTTGTTTTTCTTTTTCAAATTCTGTTTTCAGATTCAGATGTTCCAGATAGGACCTGGGTTGGGCTGCATGCCTGAACAGAATGCCGCTGACAAAATTGATTCGGTATTTGGCGGCAACTACCGTGCTTTTCGTCAAATTTGGAAAGACGCGATTTGGCCGAAAGTGGATTTTGGTTGCAGCCGTTCCCTATCAGTGCACGGCGTGTCTCCTTGTGATGACCATCGTTGGGTACTGGTACAGTATATCTCATGTGAGATCCTTAAAAGTACGCCATCCTGATCTATGAAATATACAGGTGCTGCTACAATTCATCATATTCATCACAATTCAGGTGTGCCCAATAATGCTGTAAAAATCTTCCTTTAAAGCCAACAATTCCCATAGAATTCCCTCAAATTCTGGTTGAATTCCTGCATCGGATCAGGCGCTGGGTGGCAAGAAACGAAGCTGGTTGCACTACTTTGGGCTCCGGCTTCCCGTCACAAAAATGATTGGAAGAGGATGAACCAATTTTGAGAATGATGGATATAGATGACATATAGATGACATATAGATGACATATAGATGACATATAGATGACATATAGATGATATAAGGATGATATATGGATGATATATGGATGATATATGGATGATATATGGATGATATATGGATGATATATGGATGATATATGGATGAAATATGGATGACATATAGATGAAATATGGATGACATATAGATGATATAAGGATGATATATGGATGATATATGGATGATATATGGATGATATATGGATGATACATGGATGATATATGGATGAAATATGGATGATATATGGATGATATATGGATGATACATGGATGATATATGGATGAAATATGGATGATATATGGATGATATATGGATGATACATGGATGATATATGGATGAAATATGGATGATATATGGATGATATATGGATGATACATGGATGATATATGGATGAAATATGGATGATATATGGATGATATATGGATGATACATGGATGATTTATGGATGATATATGGATGAAATATGGATGATATATGGATGAAATTTGGATGAAATATGGATGAAATATGGATGATATATGGATGATACAGTAAATGGATGAAATAATGATGATATATGGATGAAATATGGATGAAATATGGATCAAATGTGGATGATATATGGATGATACAGTAAATGGATGAAATATGGATGATATATGGATGACATATGGATGAAATATGGATGATATATGGATGACATATGGATGAAATATGGATGATATATGGATGTAAATGGATGAAATAATGATGATATATGGATGAAATATGGATGAAATATGGATGATATATGGATGACATATGGATGAAATATGGATGATATATGGATGATACAGTAAATGGATGAAATAATGATGAAACATGGATGATATATGGATGAAATATGGATGATATATGGATGATATATGGATGATATATGGATGATACAGTAAATGGATGAAATAATGATGATATATGGATGAAATATGGATGAAATATGGATGATATATGGATGAAATATGGATGAAATATGATGACATGCATTGAATTACCTGCGATGCGCTGCGGCCGATCGCTTAACGTCCCTGGCATGAGCGATGCATCGAAGGACTTGTTCGCGCGAGATGCAGAAAAAATAAAGGAATAAATTATGGAAGAATTGATTGAACGAAAGCATTGGTCAGTGAGTGAGGGAGTGAACTTTCCCAACTACTGTTGCCCCCTCTGTGGTTGACATGATGATGCATTAGTTTGACCCTGGGCATTCGGCTGTGACTTGGAACGTTGCAAACTCAACTTTGTTTTGGCAACGACCTGACTTCATCGCGACGTCACTGGAATGATAGCTCGGATGAAGGGAATCAAACCTACCAAAGATGGGTACGGTATGGGGTTTAAAGACATAAGGCCACCATACTTAACCCAACATGACCGACCAATAATGGGATAAACATCCGGATAAACTGAGGATCGTAAGCAGCAGCGACCACAAATGAGGCGGACCTCAACGTAATGTTGGATTGCTACCATATCATTGTCGTTCATTGTCATATTTATTAGCCGCATCCATTAAAAAAGATAATTATCAATTGACCATCTATTTTGCTTCGAAGGGCTGGACGATGTCACTACCTTCCAATGATCGCCACATCAGGATGAGGCCAAAAGGGACAACATACAGCTACACCCTGAGAAAAAATGCTTTCTTCGAGTGACCCCACCAACTGACATTCTACCTGACATATACTGTATTGTGACATTCTATTTGCCATTCTACTTGACATATTATTCTTGCATTCTATTTGACATACATTTGGACATTCTATCTGTCATGTATCCTGACATTCTATCTGACATATATTCTTACATTCTATGTGGCATTCTATCTGGCATGCATTCTGGCATTCTATTTTGATTACATTCTATTTGGCATATGTTCTGACATTCTATCTGGCATTCTATTTGACATATCTTCTGGCATTCAATCTGGCATTCTTTCTGGCAGCTATTCTGACTTTCTTCCTGGTCTCTGTTCGGGCCCATGCGTGCCCAGCTGCATCCAGAGCTCGCGGTAAGGTTCGTAGCCACGCGTGCCCAGACTGAGCTGGAGCTGGCGATGAGCTTCTGGCACTTGCTTCTGGCACAGCCGACAGACACGACGAGCTGGCAGAGGAGAAGAAAAAGGACAAGGAGAGCACGAGAGGAGAGGAGAACCGGAGGGAATAAAGGAAGAGGAGGTGAGGAGTTGCACCTTTGTTAAGATCTAGAGACCCTCACCTGGCAGGTGGGGAATCATATATATATATGTGTATATATGTATATATATATGTGTGTATGTATGTATGTATGTATTGTAATGTAATGTAATGTAATTCAATGTAATGTAATGTAATTTAATGTAATGTAATGTAATTTAATGGTAGGCATGTATGTATGTAATGTAATGTAATGTAATGTAATGTAATGTAATGTAATGTAATGTAATGTAATGCATGCATGCATGTATGAACATATATGTATATAATATAGTTTCTGTTTCTAGGTTGGAACCTAGTCTTCCAATCCCCAAGTCCTGGTACGGTCTATTTTGATTGCGGATGGTATATCATTTGGTTCATCATGTCTAGTGGGAGAATTTGGGCGCATCGTAGAGATGATCAACATTCAGTCATTCAGCACCCTTTGGCCAAACCAATTTGAAATGGAACATTCACCATGGTTACTATAGATGGTGAACACCATACACAAAGATGCGTTTTTTTAAATCCCCGTGTGAATTTCCCCTAGTAAATGCTATGACCTGGGTCCCGGAAAGTGAACCAAAAATTTACAGTGAAAATTGCAGAAACCATTTAGTAGAGAATCATGATTTTCAATAAAAATCAAGTAAACATCTCTAGACCCATGATCCACAATTTAGTAGAGAGGTAAAATTGATATGTTAGTCGAGTCATGTTGGTCTCTTAAAAGACTTCGAAAATATATCAACATCTTGCACTTCAGCTGAACCAAGGGCCCACATTTACTAGTGAAATTCGATCATGCATGTACATCCATTTAGTAGAGCTTGACGCTATGCAAACCGTTTCTTGACTACAAAATGGTTACGCAGCCTTCACCTTAAATTCACAGGAGGATGTTTTTTTCACATTCATTCGGTTTCAGTGAGGGTCAAATATATAATTGTTGTTGCGTTTTGCCACGGATTTGATCCACCTGTCATGTTCTATTCTGTGAATCCCTGAAGTTGGCATTACATCATATCTAAAGTTAGCACTAGCAAGACTATGTGGTGCGTAGGTGAGGGTAACTATCCCAAAATGACCTTATTTCAGGTTGTGTCGTCAGAATGGTTTGACCAGACAACATATACCATTCGCACGTGTCCCGCCATGACATATCCTAACCTGATGCCACCCGACAAACCATGACTCCAGGTTGTTTTCTTGATCCAACTGGTGGCACCCTTTGCGATTCTGCGGGAAAACTACTTCAAGTGCCCTGGCTGCAGCTTTGGTCAGGCAGGAGCACCGGCAATGACGAGTGCCTACTAGTTGTGACCATCTGTATCATTGAATATGGATATCCCCTTCATTTTGGGGGGTGCAACCGCCATCTGCTACATTAGGATTAAGTACGGTTGTTTAGAACATTTTAGGTTTTGGAATTCAGATGAATTAAGTGACTTCCAGAAAATCAAAGATCAAATTGAAACATTTTTTTTTGGCTGCTATAATAATCATCTATAACCGGTTGTTTTGCAATGCTACAGGCTGTAATGTCAACCCCTGCAACCCAGGTGGGATTTCCACCACTCCCAGATCCGCTTTGCCACTTGGTAATTTGGACAATCGGCGCGGTGAGTAAAATGTTTGGTGAAGGGTAGTTGAATGATTTTAATGCTGTGATTACTTTGATTTTGTAAGCCATGCAATCTTTGTATACCTAGTATTACCTAGTACATTTTTACACGCACAAGATATGTATTGTGTATATATTCCAGTTCGTTTATATAATTGCCAGCTATGGCCAGGTAAAAATCTTCTATTTTGAGATATTTCAAACTTGGGCATCATTGGACAGGCCCAGCTACTGACAGAAACAGCAGTTGTGGCTGTGCCTTACCAGCGTGGACCTGAAAACTCTGATTTATATGCGTTCTGTTTATTTACAATATATCCCATACATTAAAATATATTAATGATTATGAATTTCTATGGACACTATATGTTTTCACTCATGTGCATCTCTCTCGCTTTATGTATAATATATACAGTATATATATATATATATACACATATATATATTGATATATATATATATTTATTGTATATAATATTTGTGTATATGCATTTCTGCACGCACACACATAAATGTATACATATGTGTATATATATATAGGCATGCATACATGCAGACATACAGACATTGTGCACACATGCAGACGGAACATGACACACATATATGTACATACACATATATGTACATACACATATATGTACATACACATATATGTACATACACATTTATGTAAATGTATATACATACATATGCGGACATACATACATATGTAGATACATACATATGCATATACATACATATGCATTACATGCAAGATTTATCCATCAGCTATCCAATTCATGTGAGGTGGAATATGAGTACGGCAGCAACACCCATGGAGTCTCTCACCTCTTGGGGCGACTACTGCGACTTGGGACCCATGTGGACCCATGGCAATGCTTTTCCCTAATGGGGTAATGAATGAACATATCCCAACTAAATGGATGAAAATCCCAACTTGTGGCTAGAAACCTCCATTTAGATATACTTTCTAGCCGCCTTTGACTACCAGAGGGTAAGCCACTATGTGCAGGGTCTGGAGAGTCCAGTATAGACTATATATGGGGATGCCATCATGAATGGATTCTGGTGCACCTTATTGATTGGAATGGATTTCACCTTCAACCAGGGCAGCTGAGACATCCAACTGGATATGAACGGTTGATTGCCCAATGCTAAGTGAGATCAACATCTACATAATATAAAGAAAAGATGACACACCCATACTCAAAGATAACTACATGTAGTATTTAACATCTTTAAGTTGATTGCCTACTTGTCGGTAGCCTACTTAAAGACAAACCCATTTCGCAGGTGACGATTCACCCAAAAATTTTGCAAAAAGGAATTGGTGTTGAAAACGCCAACGAACATTTGACTTTCACCGGCAAATATGGAAGTTGAAACCAATGAACATGGGATTGAGATTCCGGGAATTGGGGAGTTCACTCAGCCAAAGTTAATTTTAAACGAAACATGGGGTTCCCACAAACAAACATGGGAGAGCAACCAAGAAAAACGAGTCGTGAACTGTTTGATCGTTTTTGCAACCAGGTGAGCAGTGTTCAGACTCCTGTTGATAGATCATTAGATTCGGGTTATACCATCGATAAAGGTCTTTTTTTGGTGGTTAGAAAAAATCTATCAAACAAATGGGGATATAGTTGACAAACGATGGCTGGTTGATGATGATGGGGGATGATGAATTGTACCACCCAATATATTGGGGATAATCACAATCCATTGTGGGAAATCCTATCAAACAACCAGTATAAAGGGATTTCATTTCCGGTCTGGAAAGCTGCTAGGAATTCAGGATTTCACCGGCAAACACCAGCCCTGCAGTTGATATCATGATGGGCCCAGCTACATCATGGCACAACCCGGTGACTCCAGATAGAGGTGATGATAGCAAATGGCTAAGGTGAATGATGTTAAAGCTGATAGCCAGGGGAGGAATGTCACATAATGTCAATATCTATCAATATCTCATTTTTTTTCCGACCTTTTTCGCTGAGGGAGTTTTGTTTCATCTACTGCATCGGCTTGCATTCCCTTTCCATCATCAAGAAGGCGGGGCTGATGGATCCCAATGGATCCCAATGGATCCCAATGGATCCCAATGGATCCCAATGGATCCCAGCGAAACGGAACGTGACCATTTTCGCAACTCCCCATGTATTCCATTGACTATATTCCCACAGATATATCTATATATATATAGATGGCTGGTTTTATACTCCCCATGTTGGTCAAACCAAATATATGGCCATAGTGGAAGTTTGACACAGAAAAACACCCTCGCTGTTTGGTTGTGCTGCTCGTTTCAGGCAGCGGAAGAAAATTCCATGCTGTCTTCGTTGTTTGATGAGCTACTCGGCGGCTCAACCATATGGATTGATGATGATTGATGGTTGATACCAGCCATCAAAATGGCAATCCATAGGGGAGGTGGATCAGATATGATCAGATGGTGGATCCTATTGCCATCGTTCCCAAGAGCGAACATCGCCGTTTTGTCAAGTGGATTCCCAGGCTGAAACGCCGGAAGGATGACACCTCCAACGTGGATTCCGGTGCGCTGGTGAGCAAAATGGGAAGCTGTTGTGACTCACCCACTGAGTCACTGGTGACCTTGGAGATGGGATGGGATCGAACTAAGTCACTAAGTTAACAACTGTTACCATCTGGTAAACTAACATAACTATGGAAAATCACCATTTTCAAAGGGAAAATCCACGATAAATGGTGATTTTCAATAGCTATGTTAAATTACCAGAGGGTAACATATTTTGGTGCTGAAACCAGACTTCAAGACATTTCAAGACCAAAAATCGATTTGGGTCCCTGGGACCCACTGCCGCAGGAAGAAAAGTGTATGTGGGGCGATGGTCGCAGACCTGCCTATTGCTGGATTGTGTGATGATTTGTTATGTCATCACCCTGGGTCTGGTTGATATGGTTCCTTGGATGGAGCTGCGAGCATTGAGAAAGGGATGGTTGAGCGGAGGACTTTTCATTTGATCTCTTGGGTTGTGGGCATATTCCAACCCTGTTATACACCAGTAATTTCTATATGTGTGTATTCCAACGTCCCATGTTTTAGCGATATTTCACATTCGAACTGTTGGACATCAGGGTTCCGAGCCACCACCAACCCTCCGACGAAGGTTGCCATTTTTAGTGACAATGGAGGCCCAAAGGATGCTTGGATGGATGGGTGGAACCGGGGGGTGCGATCCTAAAAAAGTGCTGTGGCTGGCGAAAGATTTGGGTTGGAGTTTGGAGTGTTGGGTGCATCATGTCATGGTTATTGACATGTGATGGGATTCTTTTGTATATCTTCGTCTAGTTTGCGTTGACTGACTCTCCCAGATGTTTTCCGTGTATTATGACGCGGGTGGGAGGCACCAATCAGCCAAGCACAAAGGGCCTTTTAGGTGGGTCTATCCATCTGATTTACTGTACCTTCACCATTGCAATCGATATAAAATATGGGTATGGGAGGTATGGGTCAAAAGCTTTCAACAAATCGATGTTTTGTCAACTCTTGTGACCCCATTCATGCCCCAAATTGGCATTCATCCCTCTATCAGTCCAAGCACATTGCTGCCGTCAGACCTGTGCCCATTTCAGGAGTTGTCCTATCTACTGGGGTGAAGCCCAGGTTGCCACCGGCCTCCCCTATCCCCAAATTTCTCCATCAATTTCGCTAGAAGCTAATGATATGTATATGTATATATAATATAATGTATATATATATATGTAATATATAATATATTCATTTAATGGCTAATAAAATCTAATGATAATGATTACTAATGATTGTTCTAATGATAAATGATTGTTCTATGTGATATGATATCTAATGATATCCCGGTTTTTCCATTCCGTTTTTTCCAAGCTTTTCATGGCTATTTTTGATGTATTCGCACTTGGATCACAGCTGGGGTCGTCGGAGGTCATCTGACATGGGAGCGTATGAACCAACAAATGCCAAATTCATGTCTCTTTTAGGAAGAAACACGGTTATAAATTCGATACTTGTTCATCATGTTTTCCATTGAAGTATCATTTCACTTATCATTTTTTTGGGAGGCACGAAAACAATTACATACCCAGAAGCAGTCAGTGAACTCATTGTCTGAGGATGTGGTCTTCGATTCTTTGGCATTGCTCTTCATTTTTCATCTCCATGAGGTTGAAGGAGGCCTCACTTTTGTCAGCATTCAGGTGCGCAGACGCCGGTAGTTTTGGGAGATCCAGGAACTGGATCAATGGAACTGGCATCAAAAGGAGAGCCGAAAGGAGCGGCTTTAAGCGATGAGAAGGACTTTGAATATGGACATGTCGGAGATCTTTGTCAAAAATGGAGAGGCTTTTGGTATGGGATCGCAAAAACAAGATTTGCGGTATGGCTTATTCTCTTCTCCACTGATCCATTTTTGTTCTAGTCTTGTGCTGGAATTTTGTGGTCGCTGGAGCGGAGTTACATCCCGTGAACCCCGGGAACCTGAAGACTGGATTTGCTCCTGGCTGGATTCCATATGAAATTCAGGGGTTGTAGCAGCTGTAGCATTTGTTCAATCGGCTAAGATAGAAGTTAATTCCTGTATTCCTTCATGGGTCCAATACGTCCTGGTAGCATGATTTTGGGATCAAATACCTTCTCAAGAAGGATGTGGACCCGCTGTTTTAATTGGAATATATCAAATTCACCGATCACCTACAAAGTGCGCCCCTCCCACTTATTAAGTTGGTTTCCTGGTTTCCTAACTCATTCAACTCTAGATATGTCTATAAATAGTCTATAAAATCTATAAATCTTATCTAATTCTGCTATAGTTACCTCAATTTGCCCATCTATAGGCATCCTCCGACTACTTAGATGGGCCCTAAATTTTGTCAAGTAGTTAGTGCTTATATTTGATCAGTCGCTAATCAGTTCATCAATTCCAGGGCCCAGCGTGTCCCACCAGGACTTCAACGAACGCCGCGTGGGCGAACTCTGCGCGCGGATTTCCCAAGCGACGGATCCGGAAGCGGAGAAACCGGGCGCCCAGTTGCCTGGTGATGGCGGGAGCTGTGGAGGTCCATCATTTCCGATGGCATTTCCTATAGTAAATATAATAACAAATGGTTCATAGATGGTTAACACATGGTTATATCATGTTATATAATACATAGTTTCCATGCATTGTGAAGGGTGAATGATGCATGGTGAATAGATGGTTAATAGTTGATAATAGTTACTAAATGGTCAATAGTGGTTAAGAATGGTCAATAGATGGTCAATCCTTTAAGCATCCTTCAGGAGTCAAGCGGGGCTAGAAATTCCCCGAACGAAATGGAGGTTGATAGCTGAGAAATTCATCGAACTACATGAGGGGTTTCCAGCTAACCACGTTTGAGCCAGTTGAAGGTACCAAGATTTTTCCCACATGACTGAGGATAAATTACCCTTCAGTGCGATGAAACATAGCCGGGACATCTCCCAAAGGATGTTTATGAATGGGAACGTGGCGGAACTATATGAATGCGGGATTTTCCAGCCCTGTTTGACTACCGGAGGGTAGTGGAAATTCAATCAGTTTTGGGGGGTCCAGGTGGCAGTAAATGTCTAAATCCAACTGTGGGGGCAGTGCTCTCCACTTTGGGTCCGCTGGCTGGGTAAACAGATTATCAGAGGAGGGCTTGCCAGTGACTTAGTACAAACTGTGCAAGAAGTTCTCACACACTTCCAGATGTATGGATGGATGAATATAGATATATTAATAGCTTTAGACTTTAGATGTATATAATATAGCTATGAGTCGAGAGAGATACATACAAATGCATTGCACAGCTCGATCCACTAGAACCATTGATCAAGGCGGGGTATCATCGAGTGATGTGCTGCGATGATGCGTCTCATTCTTTCAGGGCTCAACGGAAATCATTGCACGGTCCCATAACAGAATAAGGGGAACAGATGGCAACGTATCGCAACATCATCCTCTCTGCAAGTCAAAGTTGATCAAAGATCGATGTTTCCAGCAATGATTTCCGCAGAAACTCATGTATCCTCTGGTAAACATACAAAAAACCATGGAAAAGCACCATGTTTCATAGGTAAACCGACAATAAACCACCAATCCTGGACCCAGGGCTGGGAATTGGTAATTCCGAGGGCAACCATCCAGCAGAAGTTGGCCAAAAAGCGCATTGTGCTGCGAACCCAGCGACGGTCGGCACTTTTCTTCGTGCCCCTTGGTGGTTCTAAGGGTTGGGTCGGTTGAAAGGGTGGATGAACAGAGGATGAACTATGGGTTATCACTAATCATGAGGGGGAGATGGACAATGAGAGAGATTTACTGAAGGGGAGGCTGTGAAAAACGACGCGTTTTGTAGGAAAATAATGAAACATAACCCGCAGTAGGCCAACAAACGAGGTTATGGTCCACTTCCCATATTGGTTGCTTCTGGAAGGGGAACTTATGGAGGCCTAGCGTCTTTCAAGCCAGGACAGAGACGTTGATCTACATCATCCTGCTGCTGGTTCCTGTCGCATGGCCCCATCTTTCAGGGATGTCGCCGGTGGCATCCACTGACGTGAAACGGCTCTACTATACCTGCAGCTGTTGGGGTCCGCAAACACGATTTTGAACCGTGATTCAAGGTGATTCGATGTGATTCATCATCAACAAAGTTGGGATGAACTTTTGTTCTATATCTTGGGGACCCCTAGGCTCACAACACAGGTTCACGGTTAAGGGATGCCATTGACCTCTTCTGATTTGGAGTCACAGATTTAGGGTCCTCCCTAAAGCCAAGCTCCCGGAACTGGATGAAGAGAACATGTTTAGAGGAAATCCTTCATAGTGACCTAGGGAAACGCCAAAAAATCGACCTGCAATTTCTTACCCCCTAAGGCCCTAGTAGCCTAAAGTCCCTTAAAAGAGTGCCGCTGGGGTTTCTCCCGGTTTTCCTTGGGATCTGGATCCCAACATCAGCAATATCATGTCGTTGCACCAGGACCAGATGCTGCACTGCCATCATGAAGCCGCGATTTCAATAGTTATCTTTAGATGCGCTCATGCCGTGCTATCCACCTGAATTTATCACACATCTATTGAACCTATTGTTTACAAAGTTTGGATCTTGCCTTTTATCCAATCCAACTGAATCTAAGAATCTAAGTCACTCCAATCTCATTTGGATGATGGTAGGCACCGTAGTTCATAGGTCCCCTCAGATTTTCCCTGACAACACCAATCTAGTGGTAGTTCTCTAGCATGTGGTACCCCATGTTTGTTGGTTTATAACCCTAGTGAACCACCGCTAACATCTGCCATACACACCCTAGTGACAAAAAAACAACTTCGCAAGCATGACCTGGGCGAAGGACCTAACGCAACCCCCGACAGAAATCGCCGAGTCGAGGTCTTCCAACTCTTCATCCAGGATGGCCTACAGGCGCGCAGCAACGCCATCAGCGAGGGCACTCTGGGGGCGCACATCGTGCAGGAGGAGGCGGCAACGGGCGGGCTCCACAAATGGGGATGGATCAAAAATCTGTCTTAGTGTATTTTGGGATGTGAAGATCCTAGTCCGAGCTTTATTGATGTTTACTTGTGTGCTAGGTCTCGTTTTTACACATGGCCATATAGAATTCTTCAACAAGTGGGGGTTAATGTATAATTATAGCACAGCAAATTTGGATTGAATATTGATATGAATGATGAAATGGAATTGTGCCAAAAAGCTATATGGGAGAATCAACTGATGAAGGGTTGAACATGGGATACTAAGCTACGAACAAAACTGGCATGGTACCCACCATATTCATACTACCATTCACCGGCCCAGGTTTGCCATACATTTCCTATCTTCGAGTTTTATCCCCGCATCATTTACCAATCCTAAACCGTATTGAATATTGTCAGTTGATTCATGTTGTTTCCCTTTTTCCAGCTCCTGTCATTCCTGTCATGCTTCCTTCGCATACCTGTTGCATATCAGGCCTTTTTAAAGCGCCCCCAAATGGCTACTTTCAACTGACAGGTGCTTATTGTCAATGGGCTGCCCCAGATGCAATTTCAGAAGGATAGTGACCGGACTCCAGTCAGAAGTGCTACCCCTGGTACCCCTATACCCTATACCATCATATGTATTGTCAGATCTTTTCACCAGCCGGCGTTCATTATTCAGCCAGGATGAGCATTCCCATGTCCCAGTTATGTCCACAACACTGTCGATTGCCAGCCATTTTCATCAACTGGGGGTTTGGATTGATCTGCTATTGGAGATAAAGCCCAATGAACAACCATGCGGAACTTCACATTGAAATAATATGAAATAATCATACCACACCCATTGCAGATTGACTCGTGAATCTCTTCCAAGCCGTGCAAATCAACCCTGGCTACTGAAGGGGATGGGATGAATCACCCAGTGTTACCCCAGTTTTGGCGGCTATTTTTTGGTATTTTCATGATATTTTCACCCTATGGAAGATGAATAAGGCATCTATTTTGGCCGAGGCGCTGCTGGTCAAGGCCATGAAGTCTTTCAAAAGTGAGTCCTGAGATCGGCCAAGCAGCCGACTGCCGATGTGTTTCATGGAAGCCTCCGGGTGCCCCAAAGGTGAAGGGCCTGGAAAGGCAAAGGGGTTCCCAAACCCTTTAACCCTTGGGGCTTCCATTGGGGGAGACACAAAGGGCTGCTGGGAAAATGGGGCTTGATCATCTCAGCAGGACGTGCTGACAGCAGCTTATGTCAACCAAATTCAAGCCTTATCATGGGTTGTTGACCACCATTAATCATTAACCAATATCAGGATACACTGGGCTTGTTGAACCCCTGTCGTTGGGTGTGTATCATCCCAGAAGAACGGTCAGCGGACTCTATTCAACATGTTGTATACATTGCAAACCAATGCACACATAGATTATAGATGCATAAGAAAAGATAAGTGAGGAGATTGAATTAAGATTGATTTCATAGTACATGTTGTACATTATAAAAATCAATAAATAAATAAATACATAAATAAATAAATAAGTTAATAAATTAATAAATAAATTTTATATGTTATATATATATATACATATATGTGTCTATTTTATGGAGATTAAATTGATTTGTAGATCAACTTAGGTAAGATACGCTTCAACTAGATGAGAGGACTAAGCACGATAAGATAAAATTCAGATAGATATACGATCTACGAAAATATATATAAATGCATATATTTATCTACATCTGCATGTGCATATACATTACATACACATATACATACATACATATACATACACATACATACATACATACATACATACAGACATACAGACATACAGACATACATACATACAGACATACAGACATACAGACATACAGACATACAGACATACAGACATACAGACATACAGACATACAGACATACAGACATACAGACATACAGACATACAGACATACAGACATACAGACATACAGACATACAGGCATACAGACATACAGACATACAGACATACAGACATACAGACATACAGACATACAGACATACAGACATACAGACATACAGACATACAGACATACAGGCATACAGGCATACAGGCATACAGGCATACAGGCATACAGGCATACAGGCATAGAAAAACATACGCATACATACGCATACAAACACATACATACACATACATACACATACATACGCATACATACACATACACACAGAGACACACACACACACATGCATACATGCAAATATGCAAACATGCATCCATGCATCCATGCATCCATGCATCCATGCATGCATGCATACATGCATATATCCATCCATCCATCCACCCACCCACCCATCCATCCATCCATCCATACATACAGACAGACAGACAGACAGACATACAGACATACAGACATACAGACATACAGACATACAGACATACAGACATACAGACATACAGACACACACACACACATATATATATATAGATCGATATATGTGTGTGTGCATATGTTTCTGGGTGAGCATCCCAGTTATGGGGTAGCCAGCCTTGCGTTAGGCAAGGAGAGCCCAAAGGGGAGTTCTGCTGGAACAAGACGGGAAGGCGGACGTGGAATGCGGACGGGGTGGGCCTCTTTTGGGGGGCGAAATGGCAGGCTTGTTTGGTTCAATAGGGTATGTTTACGATCAACTCCCACCATAGAAGCCCCGCTTCTGGAATATGTTTACCAATGATGACTAAAAATATAGCGCTATGATCGGATGCAACAGATTAGCAACGGTGTGGGTAGATGGGGTTAGGGTGATTTTGAACAGAAAACACGGTGATAAAACCCAAACAGTCGGTCAACGTCTCCACAAACCTGTTAATAGGCACCTTGCCCAAGAATAGGGGTTTAACGAGCCAAAGTTTGTCGGGGGTGATAGTGGTCACCCTTCGGTAGTCAAATATGGGAATGGGAAATCCCCTGCCCGATTTACAAATATTGGGGAGTTCTCATACCCGTGTTTGGTGACGGGTAGGAACTGTTCACCCCTTAAGGGGTGACCTTTCGGAGTACACCCTGAGATTTCCATGAACAGTGCAGGCCTCAAGGCGAACAGAAGTTGTCGTTTCTGCAGGTAAGTTGGGCAATCTTCTGGTCGATTTCATGCAGTAAGACTTGTTTGTTGCGTGTTGGGCGTGTTGGTGGCTTGAAAGGTTTGTGTTCATTTTCCTCACCAGCAAATGATAGGCTCAAATTTGTCAAATGCGCAGGCTTTGGAAATAAGGCATCCGCCATTGATTTTGACAACTCAAACGCTCCAACCGTCGTCAAAGAATCGTCCAACGTGATGAGACAAAACGGCGGTTGGCGCGGCAAGGGAGCCTGGGACGGCGATATTGAAAAGACCACTGTAGTTCTAACCGGTGTGCCCAAGATCTTAGGTGCCGAAATTCTGCTGTCACTGTTGGATCGCATTTTTTTTGGTTGTTATGATTATGTTTATTTACCTATGGACATGGAGAAGAGGGAGAACTTGGGAATTGCATACGTCAATTTCCACAAGCACAGCATGGCGGTGGAATGCCAGCGTTACTTTTCAGGCTTCAGCCTCACTGCATGGCCTGGAGGTAATTTCAGTGAGCGGAACTGCAGGGCTGAATGGTCTTCGATCCAGGGATATGAGGCAAACATCCAAAGACAGAGACTGAATGACTGGATGAATTCCAAGATCCCTGAAGATTACAAACCCATGGTCTTTGATGAGGATGGATTTCGGTTGCCCATGAATCCCATGAAGGATATTTTTCTGCAGGAATCTCAGGCAGATCATGGTCATGGTAAGGTCCGGCGGTGGGAAGAGAAGTGGTACGGTTGGTTTGATCTGGCAGAAACGAGAGGCAGTCTGACCATGGCGGAACTGGTATGGCTGGAATGGACGTCAAGATGGGTGGTCAAATGGTCACTTTTTTTGCGTCAAAGCCATTTCTGGATGGAAGAGACCTCAAATGGCCATGCCAACAGCCCTGAAAGATTTCCAGTGCCGGAATGCAGAGAAACCAGACCTTGGAGTCAGGGAGTGGAAGGTGATGGGCATACCCCTTCGCAGGACGGAGCTATCAACGCCAAGGTGCCTAGGCTTTTGCAGAGCGATCCAGATCCGAAAGCGTGTGAAGTTGTGAAGTTTGGAGAGCCAGCACCAGAGTCAGAAGCTTTGGCTAGAGGCAGAAGCTTTGGCTTCACTAGCAGTTGCCAGATATGCCTGCCCCAACTGCAGTGCTTCTTTTGCCAAATGGTCAGCATGCTATCGTCACATCAGCCACGTGTCACAAGGAGTGATGTTTGCTGATCTCCAGGAGCTTCAGGCAAGGTTCAAGGAAAAGGCAGAGAAGTTATCTGCATTTATCTGCCGAGCTCGGAGATCGGGAGTCAAATTCCGTGGATACCTCGGCGTCACACGCTACTGCACGTTTTTAGTGAAGCTGCACGGGCCCATTCTTGGGAATGAAAATTCATGCGCGGCGGAGGTGCTAATTTGTCTCATCTCCGCCAACTGTGCAACGTCAACCGGATCAGTCACCACCTCAATCTTGCAGCAAAAGAAACGTGAGACAGGTGCTTTCCCTTTGGCGTGCCATTCATATGATGGAAACCGTGTTGCAAAATGGAAATCCTGAGATAAGTGACTAGCCCACACATTTGCCTTGCACTATGGATGATCCCAACCTGTCAGCGCAACAAGTCACCATGAGAAACATCCCAAACATCCGATTCTTGCACGGAGCCGCTGTCGTTCCAAATCGCTTCATGATTTGGCTTCTATTTTGGGGGATCAGGCGGGTCAGGCGATTCCATGATGTTGGACCCGTCTGGGAATGGGAAACATTGGAGGAGATTCCTTTCAGGAAAGTGAAGAGTCAGGTTTTTTTTCCAATTATTCTAGGTTTCATTACCACAACTTGAATGGACAGATCATATTGAATCCCACTGGATCGCCCAACGCTGTGCTTAGCTGTGATGTCTTACGTCATGCCAGACAGTCCTGAATCCTGAGGGGCAACATCGATTGGAGTCGTCAGCCGCTGAAAGCAGCG